GTGGGTGGGTGGACAATATTAGAATGGATCTTAGAGAGATAGGATGGGATGGTATGGATTGGATAGATCTGGCTCAGGATAGGGACCAGTGGAGGGCTCTTGTGAACACGGTGATGAACCTTCAGGTTCCATAAAATGCTGGCAAATTCTTGAGTAGCTGCAGAATTGGCTGCTCCTCAAGAAGGGCTCAGCTCCATGAGTAAGTAAGTAAGTAAGTAAGTCATTACTGTATTCAGTCTTTTTGAATAGCAGTAATGTATGCATGATTTTCTTACTTTACCATTGCATTGGTAATAATTCAAACATGGAATATGCATGAGACGTACAACAGTTAACTGAAGGTCATGTTATATAATAAGGCACTGTGTGATAGCACTTTTCCATACAGTTTCAAGTTCATACTGATATTAGATACATAAGAGACATTAAATGAATAGTCATCTGCTTAGCTGATTGCACAATGTTAAGAGAGGATATATGCCAGTTAGCATCTGATAGTCTTTTAAAGCTATTCTCTATTGGATACTAATTCCTTACACATGTACACACATCTTTAGGGCAGGTAGTTTAATTGCTCAGTCACAGTTGCATGTGACAGTGATTGCTTTCCTTGACTTTTGTGAAGGATTATTATCATCAAGAAGCAGGATGGTCCTTTTCATTTTTCCCTGATGGCCTCCTTTAATTTCCAGGGCATAACAGCATAGGTATCCCCAGTGATTGCTGTCTTGTATGGCATGTAGTGCACAAATAAATTTCTCTGCAAATCCGAAAACACTGTTGTCATGGTCTTTTCAGCTGATGTCTGTGTCTGAAGCTCTTGGGAATATATGAACCATGGTGTTTTTATTGCAGGGATTCCTGTTTTGTTTTGGGATCCCAGTGATTGATCCACATTTTATTATCTGTAACAGTTCTCAGGGAAGTGTTTCTGGGTCATCTTTGTAAAGCTTGAAATACTGCTGTGAAAACTGAACCCTGCACTGCCTGTGAAGTGGACTCAGCATTCTCAGGCTCCAATTAGAACTGAACTTTGATGTGCCCACATGGTCATGGAGGATGGCCGGAGTAAATGGTTCCGATGTAATAAATTCTCAATCAGTTGTAGACAGCTTAAAATTGTGTCCTACATGACCAGGTCATCAATTTTCTCTCACTTTGCTAGAGCAGTCACTTCCACTGGCCTTTCCACGTCAGGGGTCATCTTCAGTGGATTTTCTGCCTCTGATGAACTGTTTTGACCAATATTTCACTTGGTATTCAGTAGGTGCAGCATCACCACACAGCCAGTATCTATTCATGAATAACTTTTGATCCAGTCCCCTTTTGTGAGGAGTTTTATGACATTGTTGCTCTAATGTCACAAAATCCATGCTCTAATGTCACAAAATCCAAGCTAAGATGTGAATAGATTGATTTATACTGTAGGTGTGTCACAAGTTTCAAATGGGCTGGGCTGGAATTGTGTACACAACATGCACTGGCATGTGAGAAATGGCTACAGCTTTTTTCGCATTGTATTATATGCCATTGTAATCATTGGTATACTTAAGAACTCATCAAGGTACCATCAGATTACAACATGAAATGTTATTTGTTTTCTTAATTTAATTTTATTGATAACCCAACAAGTTTGATCATCAGAGTGACATCCTCAGGGGTGTTGAATCAGTACATTGCTAAAGTTGCTCAAGATGTTTTTTTACATGATTCTGTGTAAAATGTAAAGTTGTCCCTGTGCTTAACTAATTAAGCAATGCGCCATGAAGGAATATGGGGGAGTGGATGTATAGATCCATATTTTCTCGACCTTAGCTCTAGATGGAGGTGAATGGTCAGCTTCTCACCGCGGCTGCTTTACCTCTGGGGCAAGAGCCCCCCGGTATCCATTGGATAGGAGGTTGGGTGCACCCCATAGCCAGTCTGGACAATGTGGAGGAGAGAAAATTCTTGACCCTACCAGGACTCGAACTCCGACCCCTTAGTCTTCCAGCCCATAGCCAGTCACTATACAACTATGCTGTCCTGTCAAAAAACTTGTGCTGTAATTGGCAAAACAAGTGAGGTAACAATGTATTACGATATGTACATTTGGCATTAATCTCTAAGGGATTGTGTGTTTAAATAATGTATTTCTGTTGCATACTTGTTGCAGTCATGGGATTCATTCTTTCGCAACAGTACGGCTGGTGCAGCCCCTGGTCAGGCATATCAACCCCCTCCCTCCCTGGCTGCTCCCGGCCGCAATCAAGTTCCTGTAACAAGTATAGCGCCATACCTTGGGGGCTCTGGGGCTCCTGCACTTGGTGGCCAGATAAATGAGAAGGTCATAGATGATCACCTAGCAGTACAGGCCATTATACGATCATACCAGGTATTGTCCTGAACTGCCGTATTTCTTCAGAATATTTTCTGTTATGAATTTGTAGCTATAACATTAATTGTTCATGTGGTAGAGATTTTATTTTGATGCTGGTTCACATTTTTTAATGTGACCAATATTCATATGCCAAGTACGTACAAATGTTTAATTGAATGTCTAATTTTGTTTGGGTGAGAGAAGCATGCTTGGAGAGTCTTGTGGAAAGGAAAATATTTGAGCACTATATTGGTAGTTAGATGGGAAGTGAATCGAGTGATGTAGTTGTTACAAGTGCATCATTTCAGTTGGGACATGAAACACTACAGAGATGTGCAGTTTTACACAGATAAGGTACATGATGGGACACTTCTTTAACATCCATTTGTAATAATCTCACAAGTAACTTAACTGCCTCTCACAAAGTTCCTTGTTGCAGCCATATGGGATGAACTTCAAAGCACTGTAACCCAGCACCAAGACCAAATTTCAGATATGTTCTAAGAACATCTTTCATTTTAAGTCATAGTGTGAGCACTACAATAAAGTATTGATATTCTTTTCTGAATCGCTTATGCTGTGAGGGGCACGCTGTCATGAATATAGCAATGTAGTGATATAACTTAATATTTTCCATTTATGTGCATTATTAACTACAATAGTATATCTGATTTGTGCAATATGTTACATTTGTGGTGAAGGTTTTTTCATCAGGTGGGCATGAATATAAAAGTCATTTGTTCCATTTTTTTTAAGAATGAATTCCATCAGGTGCAACAATGTTTTTAATACATGTTTCGCCCAATGATGGTCATCATCAGAAGGCAACCATCTCTTCAAAGCAATTGCTTCACGTGTATTACATGCATGTGTTATGTAAGGGTTAAAACCCTAGTATTTAAAATATGTTTTGTTAAAATGGGATTTTTTATTGATTAAAATCTTGTTCTTTCGTCTCAGTGATGGGTCATATTCCTTCACAGTAGGTCTTCTGCAAATATAATAAATTGCTTCAGTTCTATATTCTTTTTCTTTATATATTAATTTTGTTATTCAGAATCAGGACATGTAATGGCTTTATGTTATTAAAATCATTGTTACATTTTATGTAATTCAGTCCTAAGTTTACTGATACATTGCTGCCATATTAACAAAGGGACACTAGTGCCGGTTATGTAAGGGCTCTCTTGTTGCTCCCTGTGCTTATTATGCTATTATTCATGTGTGATTACCACTGTTGATAGTTACAAAACCCTTGGTACTAATATGTAGCTAAGTAATATTTATAAATATTAAATCTTTAAGTCTGGAATTTTTAAGCAAGGAGATAGGAATCTCTCTCTTCTTAACCTTTGCTGTGTCTCTCATTCTGATTACTGGGAGACTGTATATTGGGATTATTAGTGCATAATTTGCTGCATCATATTCTTAGCAAACAAATAACAAGTAACGTTACGCAAACCGCTATTGTCACCCCCTCTTCCACTGTGCAGTCGACACCTGAGAAGTGATTTTAATCTGATGTGGTATAACATTGCATGAATGAGTGGATGTTGTGATATAGTCTCTTTCCCCCCCCCCACCTATCTTAAATTTTTTGTGCTGTTTGATTTCTGTGTACATCAGTTCAAGGCATTCTTATGAAGGAGGTTTATTTGAACCCTTGGTCCTTTTTGAAAATTGTGCAACTTTTATATTTATGATCATGTTACTCCAGTGTCATATCTAATATAGTAGAATGTATAACAAAGTATATAATTTTCAGTCCAGTGTGACATACAAGTTTACAACACTTCAGTCTTTATTCACCTTACATGTTTCAATTCAAAAGAATCATCCTCAGAGGCGCACCACTACGATCAGGAAACACTGTCACATAAAATGTTTTAACAGTATGCACTTAGGTTGTGAATAATGCTCACTATATCACAGTTAGTTTTAATGTTTGCCTTATGCATTCACGTTGACGGTTCTTGAAGTGTAGATTTACATATGATGTTATTTCATTTAAGCATATTTGCTGGGTATTCTGATTGGGATTTCCCACTGCACGCAATATGATATTCACTTTTCCATAAAATAGCTTCTCTATGTATTTAAAATTGTATTAAAAATCTTTTGTATGTAAAAAATTAGTTATTATGTTAAAAATCGTGAACCAACATTGGGTCATGTTGTTTTCCTCCCGGTGGTAGAAGATGTCGTTTATTTCTCTTGATTGTATGTTCTCTAAATATATTATTATATTAATTTTTATTTATTCTATCTTATATATAATGCTTATAAGTTTATTAAGTGTCTAGTTAGGCCTTACCTTATTGTTAGTTGTGTAGTTTACGTGCGTGCTGTGTCATATATACTGTTTTGGAGAGTGCTGTGTCACGTATTATATTCTTCCTGTGTTTATGACGTTGAAGAGGGTGTGTTCAAGTGATGTATAATAAGGTCAAACATGTTGTTTTGATTGTTTGTTTCCCTTATTTGTTTCTGTTCATCTATCAATTTATTGTGTTTGTTGTGGTAATATATTTGGAATTCCTCTTTTATGTTCATTATTTTACCCTTATTAGCTTTTTCGATGATTTCCATGACCGTTGAGATTGGTCCGTATTGATGACGATTGTTTAGAATATATTGGGCGTAAGCGGATTCATCTCTATTTAATCTTATACTTCTTATGTGTTCACAAAATTGGTAACAATATTTTTATACTTTTATGTATTTATAAATCTCCTAGTGGTAACATCCAAGAATTTGTCAATCAACTAGAAATAATTTTAAAATTTTTATATACGCCTAAGTTAGAAATTATATTGTGTGGTGATTTTAATGTAAACTTTTTAAGTAATTCAAATAGTGTTCACCAGATAATCTCACTTTTGTATACATATAATTTATGTCGCGTTGTCGACTTCCCTACAAGGATAACCAAAGAATCTAGCACTGCTATAGACAATATATTTTTGGATTATAATAGGTTAAACACTGTTCAAGTCTATTCGGTAATGAATGGGCTCTCAGACCATGATGCACAATACTTGATGATAAATAATGTTTTTGAATCTCAAGTAAAGAACAGTAGGCTTGTTAGGAAAAGACTAATAACCAAGTCTAGAGTCTTAAAATTTATTGACATGTTACACAATGAGGAATGGGACGGTACCCTGGATAACACAGATGTTAATGCTAGTTTTAATAAATTTTTGAGTACCTTTTTAGTTAATTTTGAATCATGTTTTCCTATGCAATCTGTGGTAAATACTGTGTATAATAATCAGTGGATTACTAATGGAATTAGAGTGTCCTGTAGGCGTAAAAAATATCTTTACATGATGAGTAGAGTAACTAGTTGTCCTAAATTAAAAGAGTATTATACTCGATATTGTTCCATATTAAGAAAGGTCATCTATAAAGCAAAAGAAATGTATTATAATGATTTGTTAACCGAATCCACTAACAAATCCAAGGTGTCATGGAAAATTATTAACAACGAAGTGGGTCATGCTTCCAAAAAGAAGTTTATTCCCACAGAATTAAGATGTGATAAGAAAACAATCCACATAAATACAGCAGCTGAGTCTTTTAACACATTCTTCATAGACTCAATAGATCAGATAATTAGTCAGTTTCCTAACAATGAAGGTGCACATCCCACAATTAGATGTAGCCTTTTTGGCAGCTATCCAGATATAGTTAATGTTCCCATTACTTCAGCGGAAGTCTTAAGCACAATTTTTTCATTAAAGAATAAGACCTCTAGTGGATACGATGGGTTGTCTAATAAAATTATCAAGTTATGTGGGGCGCAGATAGTTAAGCCCCTTATTCACATCTACAATCTTTCCTTAACAACAGGTATATACCCAGATCGACTAAAATATGCCAACATTATACCATGCTTTAAAAAAGGTGATACATCTGAAATATCTAATTATAGGCCTATTTCTTTGTTGACAGGTTTTTCTAAATTATTTGAAATATTCGTCTTTAATAGGCTAAAACAACATTTGACAAACGATAATATTATTGTGGATGGGAAATTTGGATTCAGAAATGGTATATCTACACAAAATGCTATCTTCAAACTAACAGAAGCTATTTATAAGGCATGAAATAACAAAGAACTAGTGGTAGGTGTATTTTGTGACATTACAAGGGCTTTTGATTGTGTCAAGCACAACCTAGTAATCCAAAAGTTAGAACATTATGGTATTAAAGGATGTATTTTGAAATGGCTCAAATCATATTTACATAATAGGAAACAGAGAACTGTATTACACACTCATGACTCAACCACCTTTCTTTCTAGATGGGTAACCTGCAGACATGGTGTTCCCCAGGGTTCTGTCTTGGGACCATTACTATTTAATGTTTACATTAACGACCTGCCAAGTACACTAGATGGTTTGGCTCATACCATTCTTTACGCGGATGATACCTCCATTATTGTTTCCTCAAAAGACATCACAACATTGAATCATAAAATAAATAAAATAATGAATCATATCTATGAATGGTTTCAAAATAATCAATTAGTCCTTAATCTAAAGAAGACGCATGTAATTAAATTTACTACGCCTATGACCATGGACTATCCATTACATGTGGAATATAACGATCAAGTTCTTAATATTGATGAAAGTGTTAATTTCTTGGGTGTGTGCCTTGACAGTCATCTCAAGTGGAAACAATATTCCGATAATTTAACAAAAAAATTAAGTACTGCAATTTTCATGCTTAGAAAATTGCAGCCTACGGTGAGTGGACAAGTTTTACGTATGGTTTACTTTTCTCATGTGCAGGCTCAACTTAATTATGGTATCATTTTTTGGGGCTCTTCTTCATTAATGAAAAGTATATTTACTGTACAAAAAAGAGCATTAAGAGTCTTGTTAAGATTAGGGCCAAGGAGTTCATGTAGGGAAGGCTTTAAGACAACGGGCATACTTACTGTCCCCTGTTTATATATATATTCCATAGTCTTGTTTGTACTCAAAAATCCTGATATGTATCAG